TCTATTGACGATGAAAATATCTGAAATTATTTACATCAAAATTATTTAAAAATGTACGAACTGACATGCTCTTGATTCGAGAACATGAATGTACGGTGATTATAATTAGGTGTTGTAATTCGCCAGTGGTTCGTGTCTCTTTAAATTTCCTGCCCTACATTCAGCCAGCGGCGGCCACGTCATAATCAGGAAAACACAATGGCGGATGCCAATGCGGCTGTAGCTGTAGTGACTCTTTCAGTGGTTCTGTTAGGACTTGTGTCGGGGTTAAGCTTATCGTGGGCTCTTCTACCAGTCGCTGTAGTTGTGCTTATTTTTGTACTAGCCAGTGGATTAAAGGGACGAGATGAACTTGCACATTTGAACGTTTGCGTGTTGGTGCTGGGAGATATAGGGCGCAGTCCTCGCATGCAGTATCATGCGCTCTCTCTCAGCAGACACGGATACAGTGTCACCCTAATTGGCTTCCTTGGTATATGCATTTTAACGCATGCACTTCATATTGCATCACTATTTGATTTTATGCATGATGTCGAATATTCCCCCATGTTTGAATGCAAGGCATGCTAATAAACTAAATCACTTCGATATACATTACATATACAGGTCACAGGGCTGATTTTTAGCACCTCTAACACTGGCATGTTGCTCACATAGGTAGTAAACCTCATCAAGACATTATTGAGGATGACAGGATAGACATACTTCCCATTTCAGAACTAAAGGGACTTACAGGTAATATAAACATATACACAGAAAGAAAGCACAAAAGTCCATGCTCAATCATTCTGATATAAATAATGTGAATTGCATTTTGCCTCTCAGTTGGCCCCAGAATTTTCAGGTATGCTTCAAAGGTGATATTCCAGTCTTTCCAGCTGTTCTATGTGTTGATGAAGATTGAGGACCAAAGCTATATCCTTATGCAGGTATCTGTATTTGTATTAAGCAAAGTATGAAGTCATTTTTATATGTTATTATGTCTTAAAGTGAAACTCTTAAGTCACGTGTGCATTCTGTAGAATCCTCCTGGACTGCCAGCTATAGCAGTGGCATGGGCAGCAAGTCGTTTCAGGGGAAACCAGTTCATCATAGACTGGCACAACTATGGATACACCATAATGGCTCTCACTCATGGGAAGAATCATTTCATTGTTACGTTGGCAAAATGGTAAGTATCCTGGTATGACACAGTGTGTTTTGAGCCGTGTTTGGGAATAGTCTGAACTGTGCATTGTGTTGTTGGCAGGTACGAGAAGCTCTTTGGACGTTTCTCGGATAATAACTTATGTGTCACTAATGCAATGAGAGAAGATCTTCGGAAAAACTGGAATATTGAGTATGTTTAGTGTTCATTTAGAATCAGATAATACTTTATTTACGTTTATTATAATAAATAAACATTTAATTAATAACTAATAGTAATATTAGTAAAACAGTTTACTTTTAAGACAAGCCAGTTAATCAATTTTGCAATTGTAGGGCAACCACATTATATGACAAGCCACCACCGATATTTAGAGAAACGCCTCTGAAACTTCAACATGAGCTGTTTATCAGAATGGGCAGTACTTACTTACCATTTAGGCCTAGGTAAGTATTTTAATGTGGAACCATTTGCTCCCATTCCTTGCGGTTACACATATAGTAGTATAAAAGTTTTCTGAAAAGGATAATATCCTCTCGCAACTTAGTCTTTGGCATTTTATAAATGTTTCACACATTCCTCTTTATAATTTCTTAGTCCTGATGTCACTAAAGAGTACATTGAACTGACAGCCTTCACAGAGCACAATAGTCAGACAGGTGCTGTGACGCGCTCTGCTGGACGTCCTGCTCTGCTTATCAGCAGCACCAGCTGGACTGGTCAGTGCTGTCCACACTGATC